TGTGGACGTCGTCTTGCCACGGACGCTACCGCGAACATGCTGGCCTGAAGGTGCTACCGCTCTTAATGCCGAAAGGCATAAACGCTTTCGAGGGTTCTGTCTATCGATTCATTCTACTCACCAGCGGCGATAAAGTTCAGGGCCAGAGGGAAGGCTACTCTCGGGTTAGTGTATGCTCATGGGTCGTAACGAGGGCTATGGAGAGTCAGGGATTTATTGCTCTCTGATCTGGACTCTGACCCTTCTGCGTTCTGTTCCCTGCCAAGAAGTCGGCTTTGGACTGCTTCCTCATCTTCCAGGCTAAGCCTGTTCCCAGCAACCTGTGGACGAGTACCTACGATCAGCACGTTCGAAGGCGAGGAAGAGTTAGGACTCCCGCACATACAAGAAGGCTCCATAGGTCACGTAGATAATGGCATTGGAAGCCTGAAACGATGGTTGACCCATCTCTGCAGATGAAGCCGATTGCGCGAATAACAAGCAACGCCAATTTCACTGTAGATCGCGTCGCCCTTCTTCGGTCTTTGGTGGACTGTACTGTGGTTTAGGTATCACTGACTGAACGTACACGCAGGTTTATGGAAGAGAAAGTATTGAGACGAAGTCACCAAGCCCGGGGTTGTGGAAATGAGAATAATAAAATTCTTCATAGGATTGTTCAGTATTGGGGCAAGACCACAGGAATGAAAACCACCCAAAGAGTGGGGGACGATCTATTTACTAATTACCTACAATGTGGTGCTAAAGATGCGTGGAAAGCCCGCTTGCCATAATTGTATAGTCAATGATTACAAGATACATCGCTTAAGGTACATTAGGTATTGTCCATATCCACATTCTGCACGGACCATGTTCATATTGTCCGCTTGTCTACCTTCAATCACTGATTTACTTATTAGAGATACGCTGGGAAAATCGAGACTTCCGAATTTCACACTGACAGGCCATTCTTTTTCAAGCTCACGTATGCCATGGATCGGGAATTGCCCCAACATATTGCGAAAACTCAAGTTGTACGCTGCTGTCCCTCAAACCTATGACCGGGTACCAGCTATTCCAGGTTGAGAAGAAATCAAGCATCGACAATCGGCAAGGGGTATAGACCAAGTAATGAGCATAATATCGTCGTTTCTGAACCTAGTAGTAGGATACATCCTTGGAGTAGTCATCCATATTGACAAAGTCTGATGCATGCGTGCTCCAGTGGAAGGCTTCTCTCGGGCAGGAGATATTGTCTAATATTATCTTCATTTGTACAGTTTAGCTTTCTTTCATACATAGTTGGTACAGTGTGCTACACATCCAAATATCCATCACGTACTCTTTACTTTCCTGAAGGCTTTAAGCCTTGTTGCATAGCCGTCAGAGCGGCTATGTTCTCCACCTCGTCTAGATACGTCTTGTACGTGTGTTCTCGAAGTGTCCCCCATACTCTCCAGGGCGAGCTCTGATACGTCTTCGGGTCGACGTCAGACTGCAGCACTAGGTGTTCTACCAGCGTCCGCTGACTGCTAGAGCCAGTTTTCTCCCCCTTCTCCTTTCTCGTGACACGCTGGATCGAAGCTATGGTCACCACGGCCTGTTTGCGCAGAACTTGCCTATGTCCCTTTGATGGTTGGTAGGACACGCGCCAGTCGGCGATACGAGGGTACATCCAAGGCTTCAGGTATTTGACAAGCTCCCACTCGGACTGTTGCCCCGAAGGCCGCGTATCGATGGCTCCTGCGAGAGTCGTAGCTAGTTCGGGGGTGCAGATTTGGAACAGGGTCATCTTGTCCCCAGAGGCGACCGCCTCGCTCATCTGCCTATGCAAGTTGACGGCCGAGGGCACAACGCCCTTCTTGCCAAACTGGAATCGGGATCGAGAACGAAACTTCTTGGGCTGAGCCATGACTTTGATGCCGATTGTGCTTCCAAGAGACATGAAACGGTTTTTTATCACCAGCCAAGCGAAGTTGATGAACTCGGAAGGCTTTCGCGGAAATCTCTTTAATGGAGGTGTTACAAGGGTCACTTCGGACGTGTCAGCGATTTCGGTCGGGTGTTGATGGTTAAGAGCGAGTCGCGGGTACTAACTTGGGAATAACGGAGAAGCAGAATCCTCAGCCATGACATTTCGTTCCCTTTGTCTCCGCTCGTTGGCGAGTCTCGTCCGTTCGCGAGCCGACTTCTGTCTCGTCGAGTATTTCTGGGAAAGACTGACGAGTATGGGAGAGGCTGTGGGTTGGCGGATGGGCAAGGCGGAGGGGAGGAGCCATGGCCGGGTCAGACGCATGGCTTGGGCCATGATGAACTACCGATTTCGAAGGATGACGATGGATGGCCCGGAGCCGATTTCCGCTGCGCGCATTGAGTCGGGGGGGAGGTGTGGTCTGTTCCGTAGACCTACAACCTCCAGCTTCGAAGGTCACGATGTCGGTCTCGAGTCGGCAGCGAGGGATTGGAAAAATTTAGGTGGAACCCCCCTTGAGCTCTGGCTGCGCTAAGGCAGCTCGACAATCCTAGGATTTCCAAGGCTGGCCAATAGAAGAGTGCGCTTTGCAGCCACTTAGTGCTGCCGTCTAGCGCTCCAGGCATGTTCCCCTAGCAGGCTTGTTGGTCTGAGCAATCCCCGCTACAGCGTTCATAGTGCCTTGCTGATTACCACCTCCTAACTGCAAAGTTACCAGGTAAGTCCAGTATTGGGCACGCAAGGTCCTCAGATGTGGGCTCAGGCACACGCCCACCTTCTGCATTAGGGGGATCTTTGGGTGACTGTTGTGTACAAAGTAGTAGTAATATGACCTCACTTAGCTCTCCATAATACAAAGTATACACAGTAAGATACACGGCGTCCAGCTTCGAAATCCAGACGAACTCACTTATCAGTCGCTCAATTGCCCTCCTTCATGGTCAATCGACATCTCCAGTATCCCCAAAAACCTATTTGACCCCTCCTCGACTGTGGGAGGCCGCTTGATGGCCAAACCACCCATTTCCTCGGCCACCCGCTCCGCCAGCGATGCTCCCGACTATACACGCTACGGCCATGACGGGCCTCGATCTCCTGCCGTAGCCGTCTCGCTCCTGCAGCCCCGCGTCGCCGTCGCCCTCGGTGTGCCCAAGCGCTGGCATCATACACTGTCCGCCTGTCGCCTGCTCTCATGCGTGCCGTCCTTGGTCTGGGGCTTGCGCCTGGCCATGCGCTTCCTCGTTGCCGATTTGATTCGCTTCGCCCATACACACGCGCTACTACATGACAGCCAGTCGATCCTGAAGCTGATCGAGACCACCCTGGCCATATTATGGGTATGAATTGCCTTACCGTTTGTTCTCGCTTCTCTGAATCGAGCTTTGAGGGTTCTGTTGCTGACCGCGAGGACCTCCCCCGTACCAGGCCAGCGCATCAGCTTACCTCGCCTTCTTCTTCACCGACTGCCTCATGTCGCGCTGGCTGATCAATTACACCCCACAAGCCACCGTGGTCCGCCTCTTCACCGTCAGCAGCGTCTTCGCCTGGTTGACGTCGTGGATCATATACCTGGCCGACGGATCAGAGGACCCCGAGCTGCTCCTGCTGGCCTGGATCGGCATCTCCACCATCTTGACCGGCTGCTACCACTTCACGCAGCGCAAGATCAAGATACGGAAGGAGACCTTTGCTAGTATGAGCGTCTTCTCCTTTGCGAGCTACACCACGATGCTCGCCGTCTTGCTATTCTTACACTCCACGAGAGAGTGGCAGCGCGATATCCCTGCAGTAGCTCTGGCTAAGAAGGCCTGTGCCATAGCTGGCCATTTCGTTGTCAACATTCTTGGAGTAACGGGCGAGGCCCAGGGGTTATGAGCATGAGAGCATGAAGGCATCCGGCGTTGGAGTTGTTTTGTGGGCATTAATATCGGTCGGGTGGCACGGCATTCTCGAGCTACTTGGTACAACATAGCGACGGGCGTTACGTTCTTGGTTGGTGTGGCTGGTATGGTTGTGCTCATGCGTCATGCTGTGGGTAGGAAGTCGTTATCTGGAGACATATCGGACTGATATCGACGACGAAATCGCTTTGTGGCCTCGGCTTCTGTGTTATATCTGCTAAAATATCTTCCTAGCACGTGTTACGAACTGTTTTGGACCTTCTCTATCTAGATTGTGTATCCATTCCATTCTTCTCAAGAGCCACCAAAGGCACGTGATGCGCGCCATCTGCCAAACGCTGTCAGCGACTGGGAGGCACTTGATCCATCGTTTGGAAAAGACGCTTTTTCCTCATGCTCGTCAGACTGCTAGCTCACATCACTCCTAGCTCGGTATAGTGGCGTAACGCTCTCGCTCGCTCCCGCCTGGTCACAGTAGCAAGAGCTTATTCGGAGTCCATGCGATTAAGTCGCAAGCGTACCAGGCTAGGGCCTCTCATGATTCTGGATACGAGAGAGATGACACCGGAGGCTACTCGAATGGTGAGACTGCTCAAACCAACGGCTCCATATAAACCCCTTTCCCACGTAGTTATCCGAACGGCTCAGGAAGAAAACATGCCAACCGTGATCTCCAGATGAGCCAGAGTGAGGGGCCCAATGGGTAACACACACGCAAGTGAGGGGACAGTATCATGAGCACCAGCCTGGTGTTTTTCTGAATTTATGCGTGGTGGAAGACATGAGCGTGTCTCGTATACAGGTACAATGCCTCCACGATACATCCCAATGAGCATTGCTGCCTTAAACAGCATCGTTACAAGAAGATGACCGCTACTTGCATGAGCACCCTAACCCGTTTGCACGGCACTACGATACCTATCTCACGTGCCATGTCAGCTTACTTCCATCTCTCAGCATGTCCGGTAGTTCCTGGTTCATTCCATGTCCTTCCGACACCACAACAAACCCAGAAAGAGCAACCAAGACCCAACAGACATGGCTCATCCCCAACATAAGTGCTGGCAAGAGCTGCAGAGATACAGACAGTCCCCTACATCATGCTTCAGCTTCGACAAGAAGGAAGTCATTAATGATCGATCAGCCAGGCCCTGCTGGCGCAATGGGAGCGCATTGGACTTCTAATCCAAAGGCTGCGGGTTCGAGTCCCGCGTAGGGTTGCCTTCACATTTCGAACATACTTTTTGCCAGGGCGACGCTGTGGTTTCCTAATAAGTCCTCCTGCTTTCTCCTAGGCTCTTACTTTGAGTTTGAGACGTTCCAAAGGTACCGCAAGGCTGGTATTCTTATTCCATGGACTCCCTTCAGGGGTTTGGACGCGACAATAAGTTCGATCTCCTACAAAGCTTTGTTTCCAAGGCGGGCATAAGAACGGCCACGAATGTACGTCTAATGCTGATAGAAGATGTATAGGTATGTATAGGCCTTGGGGAATCTCGGTTCCTCTATATATAATCCTCAATATGACTACTCGATCCGCTGCTACTCGTGCGGCTTATATGGGTAGAAGAGTTGCTTGTGCTTGACCGACGCGCATGTCTCAACCTGAAGAAGTCCCTTACCAATGCCATGAAACGTCTTCGCCTGACCCTTGGTCTTCTCGTCATATGATCGCTACTCATGTCATCAGAGCTATAGTAGCGATCTCGGGACCATTCAAACTCGGGCGCTTCCATGTCAGGACTGCTAAGTGGATGAGGACTACGCGAAGGGGAACTGCCTGAAGGAGGACTGCTCAGTGGAGGAGGGGGAGGGCCAGTGCTAGGACCAGCACCAAAGCCAGGACGAGCACTAAAGCCAGGACCAGTAGGGAAGCTAGGACCAGCACCCAAGCCAGGCCACATGGTCATCTTCACTCTCCATCCTGGCTCCACCATGTCATCCCACAGCTGAGGCAAGATGATACGATCATCCGGTCCTTGCAAGTCGTAGTGCCCAGCTTCGACATCAGCTCTCAAATTTTCAAATTGTAAGCTAGCCCGGATGATATCTTACACGCCCTGCAAAAAGCTTAGTGAGCAGTCTCGATAGACGAACCGTATCATCACTCACCTCCCACTTCCTACCTATTTCGAATGGTATCAGCAACGTGCGGTCTGTGGGAACGCACAGATGGATCCCTTCCTTTTCACTGTCCTGCTTCGTTTCCTTTGGGGGTTCGTCCGGCAAGGCAAGCTTTTTCTTTTCGGATTCTGCTGCCACTTGGATGTCTTTGCGTTCGGCTTCAATCAGCTTCTGAGCATAGGCTTCCGCGGCAGAGTTGACCTCTTCCACCTAGAGAGTTTTTAGTTTAATTGCCTTCCTAGCAGAGGGCGCTCGAGTGAGATGATATATATATTGGGGCTTGTGCAGTTGGGGCTCGAGTCCGTTACTGTATCAGACTCTGCAGTCTTCTGCGGGAAAGGGGTGACAAGGAATAGGAGTCTCACGATTTTCCTGCGCCGTTCGGCTTCCTCAACCATTGCCTCAGCTTTCATTTGACGCGCTGACTCTTCCACAGCTGCAAGAGCTTCGCCTACCCACGAGCGGATTTCCATGTCCATCTTTTTTATGTGCTCTTGCTGACTCTGTAAGGTTTCTGTGACAACTTTCTCCGCAAGTTCCTGTTGTTTTCGTACAATTTTATGATTCTCCTCATCATGCTCTGCCTGCAGTTCCGCGTCTCTCTTTGCCAGATCAATCATATACTTCTGGGCCATAGACTGCGTTTTGTCGCGTTCTTCTCTGAGCTTTTCATCCAAGGTTTGCTGGAATTCTTCGTGAATCCTTGCTTCAAGCTGCCTAATGCTCTCTTGCTCCTCTATTGTATTGATCGGTGCTCCAAGTGTTCCGGCGTTTTCCAGCCTGCTTCTGGAATCCAAGGGAGGAATCGAGTTTTGCGATCGTGGCAACTGGACCTCACCAAGCGGTGGACCTGTTTGCACACCGTGGCTACCCTTTCTCTGATCGACGGCTTCAGTGCCGTTTCGCACCTTGGGGTGCATTCTCTTATCTGACGTCTTCGAGTTCTCGTGCGCAGACGTCTGTTCTTTGCGGGTTTCGCTTCTGGCATCTGAATAAGCTGTCCGACGTGCTAATCGTTGGTGTCGGGGCGTCTTTCGTCTTTGTACTTGTCGCTGGGCCCAGGAATCTATCTCAGGAAGTTTGCTACATATATCCTGCAGAAGCTTGATATCCATATAGAGATATCGAGACCCTGTATCATCCAAAATTCGCTGAATCGCTGTAGACGAGCGACCTTCCAGCTTCAAGAGGAGCATGTTTATCAGCCATTGTTCGTTTTTGTCCCATCTTCCTGTGGTTGAGCTTTGTGCCAGAACTTGCAAGATTTCCCTCTTCAGTGTAGCTTTGGAGCCGTCTCCGTTTGAAATTAGATATGAGGATACGAGGCTACGTGCGTATCCCGAGACGTGGCCTTGTTTGGAGCTCTGTAAAGCTAAAAGCCTCTCAAATTCTTTTTGTGGATTTGCGGTCGTCATGATGCGTCGTTCGAGGGCGAGAAACTCCGTGCTATAGTCCTGGATGTGTCTAGCACTCTCCAGTATTAGTTCCACGTGCTTCCTGGTCTCCAGCGGCGCGTCGAGAATGGTCCAGCCAGGATTTTCATTCCCAGAAGGAATATACAGCGGCAACATAGACTCTTCAGATTGATAAGTGACTCCTGGTGAGGAATGTAAGTTTCGTAGAAGCTTGTCGGCCTCATATCTGCTGCTGCTTCGAGACTCCTGGGACTGAACAAGTAGCAGACGCAAGTATGGTCTAGTTCGCATACTCGTTGGGTCGGTGTCCATGATTGATTGGCCTAATGGCAAACATGCCTGTGATACTTCAGTAATGGAGGGGTTGGACAGTCCCCCAGGCCTCAACATGACGTGAGTCATTATACTGAGTAGCGCTAGAGTGGTAGACAGGTCGGTTTTGTTCGTATAGCAGTGCCAGTCGGATAGCAAGGTGCGTAGACCACGAGTCAGCTCACAGCCGAAGATATCACCCATGATTGACCTCAAACTATCAGCCAATGGTGCGAGAGTAAGGATATCGTGTAGGTCCCATATGCGACCTTGGCGTAAGAGCTGAGAGTATAGCCCTTTGTAGAATTGCGGCGATGTACAAGTTGCAAAGTCCCTTCTTTGCTTCGCCCACCTGATTTCTGAGCTCGGGCTGTGAATGAGATTCGTTGTGAGGGCCAATATTTGAAGCTGGGCATCCTTCGAGTCAGTAACAGACTTCTCGTCGAGTTCAGGGAGACGCGAACCTCGGTCGATCCTATATCTCTCTCCTTGATCTGGCTCATTCTAGAGACGGCATCTACGGCCTCATCGAGCAGCGAGCTCGAGTCGGGAGTATGGGTCAACATATGCGTCGCAGCGGTCAATTGCATTAGCTCCCAGTTCAATAGAAGAAGGCGAATCTCTTCATGCTCGGGGTGGCCCGAAATCATGTCGTATATCGCATCGTCTTTTAGCTCGGTAATTGCTCGGTAATCACCTTGCTGAAGCTGCATGTGAGCGAACTGGACCAGCACGTATGGATCATCCAAGTGATCTTCCAAGTTGTCCGCGAAGAATTTCTTCGCATCGACGAACGTTCCAAGCCTAGTGAGACGCGAAAACTCTTCAAGGAGTTCTTCGATATCGTCCTGCACATCCAGAACGAGATGTAAGGTCATGTCTCCGCCCCCAGGTGTGAATATACCGTCGATCCGTTCCTTCCCCCTTCTTCTGTCGTGCCTGCTCTCTTGTCTGGAATGAAGCTTCCCTCCATAGAATTCAGGCCGGTAGTCATTTCTTTGTCCAGCGAAGTCATCCGATACATAACCAGGTCCTAATAGGTGCGGCGAAAGAATCGGAACATGATCATGATCAGGAGAAGGTATGAGACGGCTCCTAGGATGGCTCGAGGAACCACCTGGGATGTCAAACCGAACTAACTCCTTACCCCTTCCTCCCATCGGGTAATAAGGGTGGTCAACTTGATCCAGCCAGTCCATGTCTTGATACTTTGCTCCAGAGAAATGCCTGGGTACTTGGTTATCGTGTTTTTACATAGGCTGATTTGAAGATGGCGTCCCATGGTAGGAAGAGGCCGACATGGGAGGCACTCGTCGTCGATTCTCTGGACGTTGATATTGCGCGGACGGAGCTGTACCCTTGGTCGTAGAAGTAGGGCTATCCGAGGTCAGGGACGAGGATGACGATCGCGACATATCAGACCATACAAACTAGCACGGTGTGACCACCAGGTAAGCACATAAACTCGACAAGAGTATCCGCAGTATCATCCAGGGCTGACGGTTTTCCAACTCCAACCCTACAGGGTAGCCCTTTTCGGCTAGCCACGAGTGTAACATATGTAGTTAAGTCACTATACCCACCAATGCTGGCCTGCCGTGCTGTGCTCGCATATGCAGGACGATATTATCCCCGCACAACAGCTATTTCCCGCCGCTCACTTTGCGCGTGCCGTCGGAAGATCAAGACTTCCTTGTGGAAAAGGCGTATTCATCATTTGACTGAAGCGTTCTGGGTATAGTCTGAGTGCCATGTCCATCACTCCTGGTAAGCCTCGACTGAGCATCGTGAACAAATACGACAGGAAGTACGGTCGGTACGACTCTCACAGGTTTGATCATGTTGTAGCCCAGCATGCTTCCGTGGGTGCTACGTCTCTGGGCAAAATTCACGTCGATTGCCGGTTCTTATTCGAGAAATCAAAGTGGGGTGTACTTGAAGAGGATGAGCCTGCTGGTATCATTTATCTCGACCTGACTTTCAGTCAACCAGATGACTGTCGACTGAAAAGCGCAATGGTGCAAGTCACATTGGATGACGAAGATCCAAATCTTCTTCAGCAATATCCGGGCCTGCGGTCAAAGCCCGTTCAGATCGTGAAGTACGGCCCCCGGCAGATGTCAGGAAACCCACAGTATGAATATATCACCGTTCGAGATAGCTTCATGCCGTCCATCGATGTTGGTCCATTCGGAGGCGCTGGTGGTGTTGGGCGAGAGACGCAGAAGATGGTGGCGAGAGAGAGTAGATGGAAGTTCGAGAGTCATTTGATGACAGGTTCGGAGACAAGGCGGAAGAGAGGTAACAACAGCTGGGCGTATAAGGTCCTTCAGTGGCACCTCACAGAGAATGAGTTGGAAACCCAGTCA